TCGGGTCGGCGTGTTTTGGTGCGGGCCGTCTCGTTAGAGGGGCGGGTCCGGCGGGTCGAATTACCTGCACTCGGAGGTTGGCGTGCCCGCGCTATATTCGCTCCAAATGGGCGGGCCGAGTAGAGCCGCTCTGTGCTCTCTCTCTCTCTCTCTCTCTCTCTCTCTCTCTCTCTCTCTCTCTCTCTCTCTCTCTCTCTCTCTCTCTCTCTGTCTCTGTCTCTGTCTCTGTCTCTGTCTCTGTCTCTGTCTCTGTCTCTGTCTCTGTCTCTGTCTCTGTCTCTGTCTCTGTCTCTGTCTCTGTCTCTGTCTTGTCTCTCTCTCTCTCTCTCTCTCTCTCTCTCTCTCTCTCTCTCTCTCTCTCTCTCTCTCTCTCTCTCTCTCTCTCTCTCTCTCTCTCTCTTTCTCTCTCTCTCTCTCTCTTTGCTGTCTGTCTATCTGTCTGTCTGTCTGTCTTTATCTCTGTCTCTGTCTCTTTTTCTCTTTCTCTTCTCTCTCTCTCTTTCTCTCTCTCTCTCTCTCTCTCTCTCTCTCTCTCTCTCTCTCTCTCTCTCTCTCTCTCTCTCTCTCTCTCTCTCTATCTTCTCTCTGCATTTGCTGTCTGTCTCTGTTTACGTCTCCGTCGCCGTCTTTGTTACACAAAATTGATGAATGGGTGTTGCCGAATGCCATTCATTTACATTTTTATTACGGGTAAATCTCTTACCTGAGCTCAACTCAGTCATATTAGCGCATATGGTTCTGTGTGCCAGTCTATATGATGCTTTGATGCTAACTAAAAGGTGGATTAGGCGACGTGACCAACTGTCCACGCCAAATTGGCAGGCAGTCCATAAACGATGCTCTGTTTTCTGACATCGATTGTTAAGTGTTGGCAACGTTTTGGCGCGCGAATGCGTCTAGGCGGTATGGTGTAGCAATTTGGTACTTTTACTTCCGAAATTAAGTATCACATTAGTTAGGTATATGTATTTGAACCGAAAGTACAAGCCGTTATGGTTACGCAATTAACGTGCGGTTGTTAGCCGTTCCTATATACCTACCTAAAGCAAGCTAGAGCGTTTCCTTCATTAACGCCACCGCTGATTTTCACAAGTATATTTCACTGAGATGGGATATTAGCGAGATAAATGTTCAGGCTCATCCACACTAGACACGCTTCGCAGTGCACACAAAGGCTGTACCTAACTATTTTGATGCCTACCTAATCAGTGATAAAACATCATACGTGAGCGCCGAATATCTCATCAAGTGTAGGTACAACTGTTTACACAAGCAAACAGTAAGGCATCACCACGGAAAAGCTAGTAGCTTGGGTTCATGTTTCATTTCGCACAATTCACATAACATGCAGTCACTTTCATAGGGTAAAATGTGAAAATGTTATACGGTCACACTTTGCATCACGATATTAGCTTTATTAGAGAGCCTACACTAAAGGCTGAAACATACCCTTTCCGCAGTCAGGAAATCGTATGCTAGAGCCTATTCAACTACATTAAAGGAAGACTGCCACCTTCAAAAAGTTTTCTCAGATCGGCCTATGATTTATTCCCTGGACAAAACAAAATTTTAGAATTCACCTGACAAAGTATCATCACGTGAATCGCGAAAAAAATTTGTCGATTATCATACAATTATCAATCGGTTAATGTCTAGCGACAATGTTTACACATCACTAGACTTCAAGGTCATAAGATTATTACATTTTATTTGAAAAAGTAAGGTATTTTATGATTTACTAATATATGATTTCATAAGAAATTGGCCATGTTTAATTTATTTTGCATTTAAGTTCGTAAAACATTTAAAAATCATGGCTCATTTGGAATGGGTCTGGCCCATGTTAAACCCCATTTCCCACACTTTTTTGGAAAAAATGAACTACTGAATATATAAGTTTAACTTTTATTTTGACACTCCAAAATTCTTCTCTGATCTCGAAACAATCAAAGTTTTGACATATATTTTCCAAAAGATAAGAAAATTCATGTTTCAAAGTTATCGATAAACAGTAGAGATGTCGGTTTTCTTGGACTAAAAAAAATGGCATCAAACTGAACTTTGGTCTCCGATTTCTCGCAAACGGGTTCGAATTTCGGAAAACCGACTTCAGTCTGGGATATAGGTGGCTCAGCTCTAGTGAAAACCGTTTTGTGGAAAAAAGGTGGCAGTCTACCTTTAAAATCCTGCTCGCATCAGATGTGGGGAGTACCGTATGTGGGTACGTACGATTCATGGAGCGTGCTTTAACCTATTTGAATAGGCTCTCGCATGCGATTTCCTGACTGCGGAAAGAGTCTGCCACAGCCAATGCCTAAACGTGGGTTTTACAGGAATACCCATAGCTCTAAGGTTATCGGTTTCAGTAGCATAACACACACACACACATGCCCTTTGCATTTACAAAAAGGAGGAATCAAACAGCTTAACCCACGCCCTGGATGGGGTCTGTTTATAACGCGACCTGGTGGGGGGGGGGATTTTTTTTGCCCCATCGTATCTCCAAAATTACTTGACGGATCCGCAAAATTGAAACGGCGTTCGAAGGCCCTGTCAAATTTGTTGAAAGAAATCCAATTTCATATACCTCGAGGCCACCGATGACGCCACAGGTCAGGTCAAAGATAAAATGTTTGCCGTTCACGGGTCGTCTAGGGAATGCGCTATAACATCGAGTAAGACGCATTTTATCGAAAATCAGCGATAGTGCGTCAGTTGCCTAGTACATATGTTGCTATTGGAGGTCGCTGATAATACTAGGCCAGGTCACAGGTCAGGTCACCAAGGGTCAGCACATTAACCCGCGCCCTGCTGGGGGGGTGTTTGAACACCCCCCTTGTGGTTTTTCGCGAATATCTCAAAAACGGCGGCGCGGAGCGCCGCCGTTTTTGGTACACCTTATCATACATCAATTCTACACATGTTGTGAAAATTTCAGGCCAAGGTCATTCAAGGTCAGGTCACCAGGTCACTTGAAGTGACCTCACCTCATAAAAAGTTTCAATGTCTGTCATAGCTACACCAAGTGACCGATCGCTTTGAAACTTTCAGTGATTGCTAAGAGCAATAGCATGTACAAAATGTATATCTCAGAATTTTGATATCGATGACCTAAGGTCAGGTCAATTTTGCGGCCTCCCCATTATAAGTCAATGGGAGAAAATTGAAATGCGCCTCTTTTGGACGAAATACATTATAAACACTCCCAAACACCGAATTACAAGTGGTTTAGACACACTGAACATGAAAATGGTGTCCGTGACCCTTGTTTATGCCCTGAGGTCATCTTAGGTCACGAATGGTATCTAACAGTTTTTCGCAAATAACTTTTGATAGAGGCACGCTAGAGCGATGAAAACGCCTTAGATGTGTTTAGCTCGACGATACGGATCGACTGATATGCAACATGACCCTTTCCGGTCAGGTCATGACCTTGACCTGAGGTCAAATTTTCAAGTTGACCTTTCAAGGTCAAGTTATAGTTCATTCGATGCGTCTTGACGAGAGGAACACGATGCCGGTAAAAGTAAGCTCGTACAAGGCTTGGGTCAAAAGTTATTGCAGAAAAACTGTTTCCGAAAAAATCGGCTATTTTTGCAGTTTTGGCTATTCCCGGCTATTCCCTGCAGGCAAAACCGTTGACGTTAGGTCAAATCTGAGAGAATTTCTCAGAAAGGGCGTTAATAGGGCTATCGAATGCGCTTTTCCGCGGCGCTGTAGCTCTATTGGTTCCCGAGTTATGCGTTGGCTTCTTGGAAATTTTCGCCATTCGACCTGGAAATCGGCGAAATTTTGCCTTCAATGACCTCTGGTGACTTGACCTTTGACCTGACAAAAAAATTGACCGAAGTGATTTCGTCATTATTTTTGACGCTCTTTCGAACGCCGCCTTCCGCGTATCGCTACGTGGCCCAGGAGCCGAGTTACAAGGGGGGGTGTTCAAACACCCCCCCCCCCCAGCAGGGCGTGGAAATCCAGGACCCCCAGCCGGGCGCGGGTTAAGTCAATTTTACTAGGGCTGTGTGGTGCATGTCTTATGGCCAATTTTTCATTTCCAACTCAATGGTGTTGGTTAAAAACTTAAAAGACTATCAGGAACGGTTTAGGTCACTTCCTGGTGGTGGTAAGGTCAAGGTGAGGTAAAAAAGGTCAAATTTCAAAGTTGATATTTTTGCATAAAATGGGCATTGATCCGATGCAGCTCGTAACGGGTAGTTTAAGTTGAGATAACAGGATATGACATCTAACAATGAGGAACAATTACAAAACAGGGTTGACAGTTGATGTCATACATATCCAAATTTTATCCCCATATAATCTACCTAATAAATGCTGTATATAGACCCTGAAATATGTGCGAAACTTTTACGGAAAAATAGCGAGGATTGAGAAAAATACCAATTGACATGCCTAGGTAACGTAAGCATGGTTAAGTAGCTGGAAATTAAGTGGCCCTTATAATTTTGAAATATCAACAAACGCAAATAACAAATAGTAATTTATCATACTATTCGAAAGTTAGCTGAACCTTCATATATTTGTTTAAACTATGCAGCAATCCAAACAGCAGCTGCCAGCTATTGATTTTAATACTGAAAATACAACTTACTATATCGACAATATAAATCAGGTTTTATCTCCCAACACACACTTCCACAACGTTGTGTTTACCAATGAGCGTGTCGATCAAACAACCATACTGGAGTCTTAAAGGGACCCTCCCACCTTCAAAAAAGTTTATGAATTGGCATGAAAGTGATGTCGCTCGGTTCAAAAAGAGCGAAAACGAATATCTACCAGATTTCACCGAAAAATATTCACCGGTTTTCAAGATATTAGACTTTTACTTTTGTTTACTTTTTGGGATCTCCGCTGTTCCTAGCGACTTTATTTAGAAGCAATAGTTTGGCAGCTGAAAGTGCGGCACTTGTTGCGCGCAAAGCAGCATATACTACCACGTGCTACAAAACGTTTTAGTCAAACATTTAAAAATCGTTAGGTATCTGCGCTGGCGTCACACATTCAGAGGGGTATACCTATGCATTAAGCCCCTCTGAATCAAAATGCTGCAATTTTGAAATTCAATATTTCCGATTTAAGGCGTTTCTCGATGTTGTGAGTGCCGAAACCGGTAATTGTGAGCCAGGGACCCCATTTTGGCTATCTCAACTCAAATCTAATGTTAAGGTGGGAGGGTCCCTTTAATTTTCCATCGGGCAATGGGAGTGGAGGGACATTATTGCGTGCCCGAAATAGCATACTCGGTATTTACTCAATCGAGCGGGACGGGGGCTTTTGGGATAACTGTCAGTGGTCGGTTCATATTTGTATTTACACTATGGTTCCATTTTCTCGTTAGCACTGGATACTTCTGCGAGTGTTCTGTGTGCGTTCAGAGTGGTTAACACTCTGTGCCGGTATACGCTGACTAGTATGGAGAGCGAGGACGACGGAAACTCATCAACAAACCTCAATAACAGATCTGTCTCAGAGACTGTAAGAGTGTATATGTGTTACGGCCCGTTTGAAAACCCGGCCCGTATTAATGCTGCCCGGCCCGCATTAATACTGACCGGAGACCTGGCCCGTATTAATACGGGCCGGTCAGCATTAATGCGGGCCGCCTTGCCGGTCGGTATTAATGCGGCCGATTTAGGTGGGCAGTATTAATGCTGCCCACCTTTTATTTCAAAACTTATCCGTCTGCTGCAAAATCAATTACATTAGCATGTCTTTATAGACGGCGGCTTACTGATAAAAGTTGAACGCCATGTGTAAATATTCGCCAACCCCGCCTCGAACCCACAACCATTCGATTACAAGACCGGAACAGTACCCCGAGACTAGCGAACAGATCGAAAGGCAGTGAATTGGGCAAGCAGTTGAAACTAGTGCTCGGCAATGATATGGAACAAAACGTGCTCGAGAAAATAGATGCTATTATACGTTATACGTGATTAAAATAGTTCAAAACACCATTTAGAGAAAACAAACGAGGGTATATCATAATTTTGTAGAGACAACCAGCAATATTCATCTAGACGTTGCCCAGGGTAATAAAAGCAGGTCTAACTAACACATCGCCCAAGGTCACCTCAGGGAGTGCCGACACTGCCGCGCGCCCATTTCTTCCATTACCGCTGGATGACCGACAGTGAGTATCAGCGTATCACGCATCTGTTTCATTATCTGATCTTACTAACTAGTGATCATAAAGAGTATGGCAACTTCATTTTGAAAATGTCATAATTCGAGGACTTTAGCACTGATTTCCACTTAAAAGATAAGGACGTTAATTTCTTTTGGGGTGAAGTGTTTCATGCTACGTGTAAGATATTTTGCTCTATTTCTCTAATACTTGGGAAGGTACAGTTCTTCAATTACAATTTAAAGTACTTGGGCACTTTAATTTGGAGAGTTCTCCCCCTAAAAATTATAGTTGATAGAAGTGTGAAGAAAATTCCATGCAACGTGGTCTTCCTCGATTGAAACCGTTAAAATAGCATTACTATTAACATTGAGACTTACTACAGTTTCGTTCACACCTTTTCCCTAAGCTCTAAATTGGGTACTTCTTTGTTAAGGTGTTCTTCATCATAACCATAATGATACGCTACTAAGCCATATCAAAATCAGTCCAGAGGTATTCTGATACCTCAGGAAAGGTCGAATCGACCCCACCTTTTTTAACGACGCTAGTTAACGTCCTCCAGAAACCTCAATAGTGAATGCGCAATCGGTCAAATTAGACCTTGGGAGAAAGAAGTAAGATTTTTTTTTTATAATCGTATTTACATGTGCTGAACGTGTAAGATCGTTTAAGAACAGGTTGATTTCATAAGGACATTATCCTACTTTGAATAATTGTATTAGCTTTAACGTATTTTCCAGCCCAAATAATTGCAGATAACTGAAACCTGTAACATGTTACAGATGTCACGCGAGGTTTTCTGGAGAAAGTACAAAACATTTTGCAGGGGAAAAGGAAATAATGTGAGGGTACACAGCGACGAAAAATACGCAAATGTGTTAGAAACACTAAAAGACTTCGAAAATGGCGTCAAACCTGCTCAAAACAACAAAATTGGGTATATCTGGGTGAAGCGTTTTGTACTGGAGACATGCGGTGATGCAGAAAGAATTTTGGAGAGAAAGTCTGGAAATGAGGTGGTACAGATGTCCAGAATGTTCGACGTTATACACGACGTCCACATACAGCTGGGACACGCTGGACGAAACAAGATGCTCGCGGAGTGTCAGCGTCGTTACTATAATGTGCATCGAGTGGCTATCGAGATATACTTGCAAACGTGTAAAAGCTGCGAGCTCAAGAGAGCACGGCCAAGGGACAAGACGGTCACGCGGCCAATTCTGACTGATGACGTTTCAAGACGAGCGCAGATAGACCTCATAGACTGGACTAGTGAGCGATCAGCTGGATTTGGGTACATCTTAAACTTCCAGGATCACTTGTCAAAATTTGTGATTTTACGCCCACTGAAGAAGAAGACTGCTCAAGAGGTTGCATACCATCTCCTGGGCATTTTTTGTCTGATCGGTGCACCGAACATTATACAAGTGAGCTGTTGTAGGGTTAAATTGGCAGAATAGTTCAGTTAAGATTACTAGTTTACCATAACAATTTCGTAATTAGTTGTCATAACGTGACTGTTTATTGCGCAATGCTATCAACTGTTGTAACTATTATGTCAGGTCTGTGAAACAACTTTGTATCGCATACTTCTTTCCCGGAACGTTTCAAATGTTTCCGGATTTGTTTCAGTCTGATAACGGTGCAGAGTTCCGGAACGCCTTGCTGGACGACCTGAAGCTGATGTGGCCACAGCTGATGCTGGTGCATGGAAGACCGAGACACTCACAGTCACAGGTTGGTCAGCCAACACGTCATTCTTTCTGTCGATGAACTATAAAGGGGGCGGAGTCCTTTCTTCAACAGATATTTCCCCTTTTTGACGTAGTGCATAGAAATTGTCTTGGGTGTAAAAAGCACTCAAGCAATTCATTTCACTTGTAATTCAGTTAAAGGGATACGTTCAATATTAATTGCGATTATTATTGTTACATTTACTAGTCGTTAGCATTTGCATTTTACGCCCGTATATGTCGTAAAGTATCCACGGTCTGTTTGTTCATTACACAGCTGCATGTACATTGCACGTATATTACATTTCCACGTTTCTCCTGCAGGGATCAGTGGAGCGCAGCAACAGAGTGGTGCAGGAGAAGCTGAGGTGCTGGCTGTCAGAAAACCCTGGCTGCAAATGGCCTGAGGGCCTCCGATTTGTTCAGTGGGCGATGAACACGCAGGTAAAACAACCTCATTGCTTAATTTTCAGATAAAAACACCCTTACCGCATTAATTCATAACTCTAAGATTAAACAGTGTGTCGTTCGTTATCCATGGCATTTGATGCATTGCAGACATTCACTTCGCATGCCATTAAAGCCTTTTGGTGGCAATGGGTCGGTTTACGTCAGCCCCTGCCACAAATAGGTGTATCCAGGAGGCAGGAGGCTGCTAATAATAATAGGTGTTAACGATTTTGTTTCACGAAGTTGCATATTTATATATAAATACATTTTTTATTAAGCCATAGCATGTCTAGTGTTGGTCTTTTAAGCTCATCTTCTGTCATCAATGATGCTTCGTGTAAAGCTCTCTGACGATGTATTTCAACACCCGTTGCAGGTCCACGAGGGAATCAAAAGGACCCCTTTCGAAGCGACCTTTGGACAGAAACCTCATCTCGGACTTCGCGACTCCAAAATTCCCAGGAGCATCGCAAAAACCCTGAGAACTCAGCAGGAGCTCGAAGATCTCGCAGCAGCAGGACCGTCTCGTCGCGACGACTCACCGCCAGTCAGTGGGGACTGCCCGTCGGTCAGCAGGCCGCTGACCTCGCCGACTGCAGCGAGGCAGCCACCACCGGGAACAGGTTCGCCGTCATCGTCTCCGTCATCGTCTCCGTCATCGTCTCCGTCATGGTCTCCGTCATCGTCGCCGGTCAGGGAGTCGCTGCCACCGTCGCCGGTCAGGGAGTCGCTGCCACCGTCACCGGACAGGGGATCGCCGCCACCGTCACCGGACAGGGGATCGCCGCCACCGTCACCGGACAGGGGATCGCCGCCACCTCCACCGGACAGGGAGTCGCTCCCACCGTCACCGGACAGGGAGTCGCTCCCACCGCCACCGGACAGGGAGTCGCTGCCCCAGCCGCCGGACAGGGAGTCGCTGCCCCAGCCGCCGGACAGGGAGTCGCTCCCACCGTCAACGGGAAGGGGATCGCCGTCGCCGTCACAGTCACCGAACAGGAGGTCGCCGTCATCTCAGCCCACGCATCATCCAACGTCTGGCTCGGCTGAGCCGCAGCCAGGACCTAGCGGCCTGCAATGTGTCTCCTGTGGGCTGCGGGTACAGCAGGGGGACAGCTCCTGCAGGCTCTGTCAAAAAGCAAAGTCAGCGAAACGTCACCGCAGAGAGGCATCAGCAGCGCAACAGCAGCAGGCGGCCAAGATGCTGCGTAGATCGCGGCAGTCTCGCCTCCTTGTCGGCCAAACCGTGAGGCTCGGCATACCCGACGTAGACCGTGCCAGGAACCAGCCACCAAACATTTTGGCAATTATAACTGAGGTAAGGCACTATTGTTTTGGACAAAGCAGGGTAATATGCACAAGTCGTTTTATGCGCATGGATGTGCTTGTTTTGATTAAATCTTTCAAATAAAATGGGTAGTTTGTATTGACGTTAATTACCATTTTGGTAGGCACTTAGCCGTTCAATCTGGATGTCAATTTTGTTTCAAGTCATTGCTGGTCGATATCGCTAGTAGACACCTTCACCTGCATTTATCGAACCCATTTGTGCAAGGGGAGGTAAGGGAGGGGAGCATAGTATTGCATTGGTTTCTCTCTGGGCATAGTATGTTTCCACATGTTCGGCTCGTAGGTACTCACCACTTGTCTTTTAATCGTTTGACGACCCTTTTAGTCTCTCACACCAAACCTGAATGATGTGGCGCTGTGTAAGACCGCTATTATGTTTCAGGTTCGCGAAGACGGATACACCTTGGGTACAGAGTACGGTCGCCTTTCCGGAGTTTACAGTCGTGCGTCACTCACTCCATCAGACGTCGACTTTCTCACGCCAGAGTTCATCCCGGATGGCGAACCGGTGACATTGAGGGAGGCAGCGCGGCGTGCGTCGGGGGGCACCGGTCAAGGGATACTCAAGTGCACCTGCAAACGTGTGTGTCGTGGGCGCTGCAAATGTGTCAGCAGCGGACGGATGTGCTCCTCGCGTTGTCACAAGAGCAGAACGTGCAATAATAAGTAAAAAAAAAAAAACCACACACTGTCTTTCAATGTTACTTGAATGAGATGACCGTTTCTGCTAAACCAACGTTACAGTGACCCGCCACAGCATGTATTAAACAAGTAAACAAAACAGCAATACATAGCACGTCCGCTCTCGGCCTCTGAACTCCCTGCACAAACCCATCAGCCCACCACCGGGCCCGACATATCTAGTCCACACAATTCCACTAACGAAAGCGAGCACGCACTGCCGGTGGCGGGCAGGGCGAACGCCACCGGTCCCACCTGTCGGCGGGTCACGTAACTACGGTTTCTGCTAAACCAACGTTACAGTGACCCGCCACAGCATGTATTAAACAAGTAAACAAAACAGCAATACCGCCATGGAGAGAAAAACACACCAACTGAGCGAGAACAGCGAAACTGAATGCACAAACCAAGCGCACAGTACCCCGTGTGAACTGTATCGTCTAACGAGCGACGCTCAGGAGAAGAGGGTGTCAGTATACGCACGGTCGACCTCACCGTGCACATAGTGGTCCAAGAACACTGATCGCGTCTTCCATCGCCCTAGGCGCTGAATGTCATCAGTATCAAAGCCCAGCTGCACCGCACGCGTCGCGCCCGTCGGTCTAAAGTCTTTCGGCTGATGGCCTGGTGCCAATCCAAACTTTTCAGCCAACGAAATCGCCTCCCGGAGAATCTGAGACACCGTACTAGCAGACACCGCGGTAAAGGGCTTAACAAGCGTCAAAAACGCCGGCTTCTCCACTGGACATCGCACTGAGTCGGTACGCGCAAAATACGACTTGAGCGCCCCCACAGGGTCTACCTGGGGATCCGGACAGGCGGGCAGGGTAACCTGAAACCCCGTCCTCTGGCTGTCGTTCTTTACACCCAAAAAGGTAACCTGGAGAGAGCCGTCCTCTCCGAACAAGAACTGAACAGTCGACATCACAAAAGAAGATACAAGGTCTGTGTTAGTGTCGTACGTTTTAGCCCGTGGCGCTACGTCTGACGGTCTTAACATCAACGCTAAAGCTAACAAAACAATGGTCTTCAACCTAAGGTGTTTAACGGACAGGTCGTCATTACCTGACCAGGCACGAAACAGACGCATGAACGCAGAAATATCCATGACGGCCGACCTGGCCAACGGCGCGCGCGTGCCACTCTTCACAATACCCTGCAACAACCGAGCAACAAACGGGTCGTGCACGGGGTTAGCAGCACCCACTGCCTCATACAGCGCAGATACGGCGGCAGACACGCACCGGACAGTGGAGCGTGGACGAGAAGAGGAGCCACACCGGTGGATCATGAAGTCAGCCATCACTGCAGGATCGGCCGGCGGAAAAGAAACTCCCCGGCCGCTGCAAAATGTGAACAAATCACGAATGTAACGGTCGTAAGTTTGCAACGTGCTGCCTGCCAGGCTCAGTTGCATACAGTTGCTCGCTGTCCGAGACCAACCACGAGCGGCTAGCTGTTCGCGCCAGATATCCTCCAGGCGAACAGACTCCAGCGGCAGTTGCGCCGCGGCTCTATCTCCTGCTGCTCGGCCAGGGGGAGACACGAGCTCGTCACCGGCGGCAGCCGCAGCGGCGGCGCCGTGGACAGCCGGCGGAGCCGCGCCATCCACGGCTGCCCCGGCCACATGGGTGCTATCAGCGTCGCGACCGCCCGCTGTGCCTCCACGATGTCCAGAACCCTCGAGATTAGACGAAACGGAGGGTTCACCCAGTTGTTCTCCGCGCCCCAATCGGTCTGGCCCAGCGCGTCGATCCCCGCCGAGCAGGGGTCGGCAAACCGACTGTTGTAGGCGGGAAGTAGCGCCGTATTGAACGACGCGAACCGGTCCACTGTATGCGGCCCGAACATCCGGTCGAGCTGCCGGAAAATGAACGGATGTATCACCCACTCATGACGCACCGAAACACGCGAGAGAGCATCAGGACCTGTGTTTGAAACACCCGCTATATGATGCGCGACAAGCGACATGCCATTCTGTAACGCAAATGCCCATATATCTTGGGCGACACTATCCAAGCGAATATTGGAAGATCCAAAATTATTAATGTGCGCCACAGTAGCAACATTGTCAGACAGAATCTCCACTGTTTTCCCAACTAACGCTGAACGGAATGAAAGGAGTGCCAAATATACCGCGAGCAGCTCTCGATAGTTGACCGACTCGCCACTCACCCGATAGTCCCAGAACCCGGACGCCAGCTGACAACTGTGCGCCGAGAGAACGGCTCCCCAGCCGGAGCCCGAGGCGTCGGTGGCGAGCTGCAGATCGCAAGCAGCTGGCGGCACCAGCAGCCGGCCGTTCCAGCTGTCCAGAGAGGACACCCACCACGACAGATCGTCCCTGGCTCCGGGGGACCACGTCAGCAGCGACCCCCAAGACGACCTGGAATTCAAAAGTCGGTACACATTGCGAAGTTTCAACTTTGCGGGGAACACCGCGGCGAGCATACTAACGCAACGACCGGCCATTCGAGCCAGCACCCTAGCTGACACGTTAGAACGTTTCAGTGACCTCGAAATGTCCTGTTTTAGCTTGCGGATTTTAGCCTTCGGAACTGTTATCAAAGGCGGTCGAGACGCAGACGCACAGTGAACGTCAAACCCTAAATACGTAACTGAATCTGACGGCGTGAGACAGGACTTATTAAAATTAACCGCAAGCCCTAGAGCCTTGAGGGTATCCAACAGTACGCGCATGTCCTCCTGAATTCGTGTTTTTGACGAGCAAAGATAAAAATCATCCACATATGCCATCAGGGATAGAGAGTGAGTAGGACCACGCAAATACTCGACGACAACACGAATACATTTGTGGAAGAAAAACGGCGAACATTGCAAGCCAAACGGTAGACAGCACCACACCCACCAAAAACCGCCAAACTGAAACCCTAAATACGTTCGGAACTCAGCCCTGATCGGAAAATGATAAAAACCATCCTTCAGGTCTACGGTGACAGCCTGCTCACCACCGCGCACTATCTCCGGCAGCACATCAACACCCTCAGAAGAAAATTTTGGCGTGTCACAATGCGAGTTCACGTACCTGAGGTCGCATATCAGTCTGAACTTGCCGCCACTCTTGGGCACTACCTTCAGCGGCGATACACAATGGGGCATGTCGCGAACCCGCCGAATAATACCCCTCTCTTCCAGCGCACTGATTTCTTGGTCCAAAAACGTTTTCTCTGCACCACTAAACACTGGATTGGTGAACACTCTACGCTCGGGTTCACGCACGAGGGGGATGGGCACGCCCTCCGTCACCCAGTTAAGTACTGTATCAGACGCACCGATCCCCGCCCAGGCCTCCGGCCGCAGCACCATGTCCACTCTCACTATCAGTCCGCAGCTCCGGCCCCCGCCCCACCAGACTGACTCGACCTCGGCAGGTCACGTGACGGCGGCAGGCCGGGACGACCGCGGCTCCGCCAATCAGACGACACCGGGCCGCCGTATAACCGCTGGCCCTGCGGCGCTGGACCTCGCCAGCGACCACGGTCAGGAACTTGGCTGACCTGACGAGAATGCTGCCGCGCCCCGGCAATGGCCACGGCGCGCTGGAGATTTTCCACTGCTCCAGGCGTGAAGGTCGCCGGGTTGTGTTGCAGCGTTTTGAACAGCTGCGCCGTAGAGTCGTCGAACTGGTTGGAGACAATCAGATGAGTGTACTCCTCTTGTAGGAACCTGAGCTGAGCCAGCGTCACGGTTGTGAGCTGGTCAATCACTGGATCAGCTACCTGCGCCGAAGACAGTATCTTCAAGGCGGTTTCCTGGAAACGGGCGCACTTCTGGATGACCTGGAAGCGCGCTAGATCAGCCTTGCCGATTCCGGCTCGGGAGTCACCAACCACCAAGTCCTGAGGGAGCTTGACCTTGCTCAGGCTGTCCCGAATCGCTCGAAAGTCAGCCTGCAGATCTGCTGACGCGCCGAAACTCGGCTGCTCCTGCTTCTCACTGGGCTCAGCAGCCTCGGCTGCACTGAGAGCCGTTGGAGCCACGTGCCGACGACCGGCGTTGGGCTCACTCACACGAGCGTCAATGACGCGCACTGATGCCTCGATGGCACTCACTTTTTCCGCCAACTCGCGGATAGCCTCCTCCATCTCCGCACCGCTCAAAGCACATGCGGAGACCCGAACCGCCTCAAATACCGGCGACTGGGCCACGCACAGGGAGCTCCGAGCTCTGCCGAAAGCGAGCACGCACTGCCGGTGGCGGGCAGGGCGAACGCCACCGGTCCCACCTGTCGGCGGGTCACGTAACTACGGACATGCTCTATCGTCTATACGCTGAAGATACCACGAAACAAACATTTACTAGCCAACAGTCAAAAAGTATAAAAGACATTAAGACCACTGCAGGCCTACGCAGCATTTGCTTAGACATGGAATAGAGACTAGTTGGCTAGTTTTGATATGGCCCGAGTTTTCATATGGCCGTGAGGAAAAAAGTGGGCGGTATTAATACTGCCCGGCCCGTATTAATGCTGACCGCCAGGCGGCCCGCATTAATGCTGACTGGGGGCCGTATTAATACGGGCCAGGTCTCCGGTCAGTATTAATGCGGGCCGGGCAGCATTAATACGGGCCGGGTTTTCAAACGGGCCGTAACATATGCACTCCGAGATGCAAATGCATAATAACGGTGCAACTATACACACTGCAGTTTAGGAAATGCCTGGAAAATGTGTAAGAAGTAAGGCGAATTTCACAGAAATGTCCCCTAGCGTTCAATGCTACGTTTTTTTAACCGTCAATGCACACAGCTGTTAATGCCGAACCAATCAATAAAAATATATCCTCCCCCCTAAGTGTAAGCGCAGCACCGAGAGGGCTATACCTATGCATGTACAATGTGATACTGTGCAGTGCTGTACAATATACGTACAGGTAAAACAGCGGTACAGCGAATAGAGGAGCATCTGAAAATACTCGTAGTGCACCATCTTGCAAAATATGCAGTTCATTTTTCTTCTGAGAAGTGCACAAACGGTAGTTCAAACCGCTCATGTGCGAGAAAATCTTACAACACCAACTATTAGCACAAACGCTAAAAATGAAAGCAGTACCGGCGATCTTCACAGGGAGCAAAGCAGCACCACTCATCAATTACGCACCGGATAATCTAGCTCAGGTGCGCGCCAGGGTAGGGGAAGTTGGGGCAATGCCGGAGTTGGGGCAAAGCCGAAATTCGAGATATTTCGAAAACCGTAAGACATGGATGCCACCTGTCAGTGATGCTCTGAAGCTTACGTGACTACAATTATCGCATGTTTGTTACGAGTCGTCATTCGGAATGCTTCGACTGTGAGGGCGCCAAGAGCGTTTTCAAGGTACGTTTCCCTTGTACTACATGCGCCTTTGAAGCTGCATTTCTTACTCATTATGCTACCGTTTGTCTGGCCAATTCGGTCAAGTAATCTTTAGCATGTCTTTGCATAAGTGTGCTGCCTATTTGAAATTTATACAGCACGTTGAAAAGTTATGGGCCTGCAAATGAAAGCATGGCAGGCTGGGGTAATGCCGAAAACGTGCGATTACGAACGTGTTAAAAGCACGCTACGTGGACTTTACTGCTGTAGAATAGCAACGCGTGTTTTTAGTCACACAAATTACACTTTCAACCGACACAACGGCCTGTTACCTATAAGGAATGATTTACCTGGCATTTTCTTATTATATCACACAATTATAACTTCCAGTGTGCACCGCGTCCTCAAGCTCTAAAAACGCGTGTCAGCTTTGATAAATTCTGGATAAAGTTTGAGATAAAATGGCAAAACATCAATGTCGGCATTCCCCATAGATCATTTCTCCCATTTTCGGCTTTCCCCGCAGTCCGGGGCAACGCCGAAAAAGTCACTTCTTTGATATTTTTAGTTTGTGCGCTTAACGGTATGCGAATTCATCAAATGCGCCTGGTATGTTTGAAAGGCAAAAGACTGGCCTCTCGAATGACGCCAACAAGAATAGCTTATGTTGTCTACCTTGCGTGCTAAGGGCGTCAGAAAAAAGTCTTCGGCGTTCCCCCAACTTCCCCTACGGTTTCAGCGTCCGTCGCCAGGGGCACCGAACACAACCTGATCGATCGCTGAGCCGCGCCGATCTGATATTAATCCGTAGTCAGGTAATATCCCCAGTAGACGACGTTGAAAATGAGGAACATGACTGGAGAGAGAGCGCGGGAGACCTTCTCCAGCACCCCGGCCTTCTCAACTCCGCTCCACTTCCGACACTCTGTCCAGCTCACTTCCTGCAGCGAGATATAAGACTGCTTAATTAACGCTGAGCAGTGCAACTACTCGTTACGTTTGGAAAATTTTCAGTAATTGAAAACGTGCAAAAGAAGCCAATAATAAGTTAGTAGTTATATGAGCTTGATGATTTAGTTTTAAAAAGAAAGTAGCGACGATAGCACATGCCAATGTATACGCTTATCAAATGCAAATTTAGTGGCTAATATCTAGCCTTATTGATTAAGTTCCAAGAGTTGATGAAGCGCCCGGTGGAATGCCTGGACTCGCTGAACACTGCCAAAAGTTACCTGCGCCCTTTTATCAGGAGACGGCGCTGTCTGGTCGCCGTCATAAAAGAGTCTGCAACGAGAACAACCAGTCAATGCAGGGTTGCAGGAGGGCACTGAAGATGCAACTTTCAAAGATGTTTTAGTTTCATCGGCAGCAATGCGCCACATCGAAGCAAAATGACCTAGTTTGAGGACAACGCTAACGATCCTGAGGACTACAATAGATCTGCGGACTGCTACAGATTTGCGACTTCAACGACAACAGGGCTGATTAGTGATTATTATGACGATCATTATTCATTATGGTTAATGAATTGACCACTTCAACAATCATGAGGACTACAGCAAAAGAGCTGAGAATTATAAAAGACCTGAGGACAATAAACAGACCTTCGGACTATAAATAGAGCTGAGGACTATGAACAGACCTGGGGACTATAAATAGAGCTGAGGACTACGAACAGACCTGAGGACTAACTGTACAGACCTGAGGACGACGATGTACTCCACGATGGTGCCGAAGACGAAGACGATGCAGGCCAGAATCCATACGTCCAGCGCCTTGACGTAGCTCACCTCGGGCATACTCTGGCTGCTGGACAGACGTGCGCATTTATCACGTACAAACACATAAACAAACACACACAAACAAACACAAACATATACACAGACATTGCAGCAAATGTCTTATATAGGCACACACATGTCGCAAATGTCCGATATAAACACACATGCAGGCAGAACCGCAAATGTCCGATATGAACACAACAGGCAATGCCGCAAAGGTCCGATATGCCACGTCTGTATCCTCCGGGCATACGACTGAATATTTATGGGAGGATAACGTCGGGCCCAGAGAAGAAGTTTATTGAGTTACCTCCCGGTATGACCTTTTTTATCGATCCGGGCGGCCGCCCGTGCCCACTGCACACCGTGCTAGTGTATTAATGGCAATGACAGTGGCAGTGCACTGCGTAATTTCCTACATAAGGTAATGGCCAAAACCACTTTGTAATTAACGTAATTAAGCATCAAAGTACCGCTGTAAAGTAAGCCTGCGCTGGATTACGCCTCTATTAACTGAGACACGCACGCACTAGCAGAAATCAGCATCAGCAGGAACTTGGTCCCCCGTGGTCCTACATTGTTACCGGACACTCACACGTTAGCGATGAACAGGCCCATCAGCAGGGTTTAGTTCGACATTGGTCCCTCCCATGCACTCACACGTTAGCCTAGTGCTGAACACGCCTCTTAGTGGTGATGCTCCCCTATCGTGCAACATTTGTCCCCGGGATAACTCGCACGTTAGCGTTGAACAGGCCCGTCAACAGGTATTGGTGTCATAGGCGGCGGAACGGGGAGGGCACCGGGGCACCGTGCCCCCCTTTGATTTTGGCATTTTAACATTAGCCCAATGGGCGTTGCATGGAAATAATGGGACCAAAATTCGGCAGTGCCGCTCTTTAATTGAAGGTGTTCCGACGCTACTGATTGGTGTTCATTTGTC